ATTTTTTCCTGGGGTGGAGGAAGTTGGTCTCTTTCTCTTGTGAGACCTGTGCATCAGGGATGACTCCTGCCCTCTGAAATGCTAGAGAAAGCAATAGTGATCAACCTAAACTGGCAGTGGTACAAGTTCTGTAGCTGTAGAAAAGGGTCTTACCTTTTTGGGGTACAGGAATGGGTAACAGGTGATGGATCATGTGATGATTACCTGTTCTGTTCATTCACTCTGGGGCAACTGGTGTTGGCTACTGTCGGAAGACAGGATATTGGGCTAGATCAGTGGTTCCCAAACTTTAACAACCTGTGAACCCCTTTCACTAAAATGTCAAGTCTCGTGAATCCCTTCCTAAAAATGAATATTTCCAGGGATTTTCTCCTTTACCTGAGTATAAATTATAAAAGCAGTGATCTTGGAAATATAAAATTTGTTTTTGTGACATGCTTATTCACACTATTTATTATTAATTATTATTTATCATTACAGTATTTTTATAACATTATGAAAACGGCAACACTCTTCCAAGATCTCACTTTCGTAGCTTGTATCACTTTGAATAAGCCTGTTATAAGACAAGGCTCCTATGTTTCATCAAAGAGTATCAGATGTGAAACAGCATGAAGGTATTTAAGAAACCAACTCAAAGAGTTCCTCCTACACAAGCATTCAGGTCTTGAGCAGTCCAGACAAACAAGCACGTTACAACAAAGCTTAAACTTGTTCTTCAAAACAATACTAGCTGCCTATTTAATTTTAAAAACAGCAAAAAAATACCCACCTCCCTTTCTTATAAGGAGTCTTGATGTTTGACTCTCCTCAGTGTGATAGATATGTTTGCTTTGATCTGCTTAGCTCTTGGAAGTCTAGGGGCTCCACCCCATGCTGCCCGGGGTCTCTAGGGACAATTCTGTCTGCCATTAGGGAATTTTTTCCTGAGAATCCCCTGTAACACTTCACGAACCCCAGTTTGGGAACCAGTGGGCTAGATGGACCTTTGGTCTGACCCAGTGTGGCCATTCTTAAGTTCTTACCTTATAACCCTGGGCAGCCTCCTCTATGGGAGTCAACGCAGGAGCTCAGGGAGCCTTGGACTCTCTGCAAACCAGACAGATGGGGGTTTGATCCTCCTCGCAGAAAAGTTTTAGGGCCTCCTGGCGTTGCTCATATCCTCCCTCCCATCCTGAGCTTCTGGCTGCCTGGAAATTCAGGCTTTTGGCTATTTCGATAACATTCCCCAGCTCCCCGGTGGGCCTGAAGTTTCTTCTCTGGGCTGTTTTTCTGCACTGGGGGCAGGAGAAGTTTCTACCCGATCCCTCACAGCACTGGCTGATGCTGGGTCAGCAGAAATTGTGCCCGCAGTATATGGACACCGGCTCTTTGAAATAATCCAGACAGATGGAACAAGTCAGCTCTCTTTGGAGATTCTCTACAGTGGCCATGGCTGAGGGCTTCTCCAGGCACCAGCAAATCTAGCTAGCCGGGGGAATTGTTTGTGACATTTTTACATGTTCTGCCTGTTGCAGGAAACGGGTGTTTCCATGCCTGGGCTAGCCTGGGTTGGCTGGGCTGCAATGAGTCCTGAATAGCAGTTCCAGCCCCTGGGGCAGTGGAGAGACATGTGACCCCTCTCTATGCAGGGAACCTTAACACCTTAAATCGGGGTGGGGGGGGGACACTGTGGGAGGAAGAGAATAAATCTGTTTAGTGTTTAGTCCTGGGGGGTGGGAGTGTGGGGTTACCACTTGGCCTGTATTTGACCGGCCTGTAGTGGCGCTATTTAATAGTGGGGGTGCTGAAAGCCAGCCCCCTTACCCATGTCTGCGACCGCCCCGCCCCCTGACCTGGGTCCAAGAGCAAGGCAATGTCTCCAGGAGGCAGGCACCCTGACAGGGGTAAGGGGGCTGAGGCCGGCAGCTGGGACCCCTAGCACAGGGCCAGGCAAGGCAGCCAGGACCCTTGGGCACGGGGCCGGGACTCTGGGCGCGGGGTCGGCAGCAGAGCCCCAGGAGCAGGGCCAGGAGCCGGAACCCCACGTGGGCGGCCAGAAGCGGAGCCTCGGGTGCAGGGCCAGAAGCAGAACCTCGGGTGCAGGGCAACGGCCCCACTTGCGGGGCCGGGAGCAGAGCCCGGGTGCAGGGCTGGCAGCTGGGACCCCACATGCAGGGCCGGGAGCAGAGCCCCATGTAAAACCTCGGGGTGCTGCAGCACCCCCCGCACCCCTAGTTCCCATGCCTATGCCAGCCTGGGCATTTTTTTTTTATGCGTATGCCTGTTGCCAGAAAAAATAATCTAATCTGCCGGGTTTGTTTTATGTGGGTCTAAAGCTTTGCATTATTCTCATAATACACTGGCTGTCTAATGTTAAAAGTTTCCATGCCCCGCTAAAGATTCTGCAGTGTTCCCACTGCCACAATTTAAGCGACAACAGATCAACACAGCAGCTGTCTGCCCACCAACACGCAAGTGAACCACGCGCATGTGTGCGAGAGAGGGTTTGAGTCACGCGACAGCGAGGAGACAGGCGGAAAAAAAGCTAGCATCAGAAATAGCACATTCAATGACAACTGGCTAAACGAAACAGACTACAAAGACTGGCTGGCAAAATGTGCTGATAAAACAAAGACCTGTTTGTTATCAGTGATGTTACCAATCTTATCTATATGTGTTCTCTCTCTAGATACTATAAGTGCCTGTTGAAGGGCGGGGGTGCGAGGTTAGGGGTTGGGGTTGCCATGAGCTTGCCGTTGGGGGGGGGGGGCGGGTGCTGGATTTTTTCCATTTCAAAGGTGGTAACCCTAGGCCAGAGTGGGGAAGGTTTGCAATATGTGAACAGATCAGGGTCAGATTGGGGCCCTGTGGGTCTGGATGGACATAGCTGGTAACTGGCCACAGTAGAAGTTTAGGGCCTGGGGAGGTTCCGGATGGGAGTAGACATTGATGATGGAGTCTGGTATTTTTCCTGATGTATTTTTGTTTATTGACAAGGGACGTACAAAATCCTGTTTCTCTGAACATAGGAGGAACCAGAAACAAAAGGAGATGGTAGTTTCTTTGCTTTCAGCCCCCAGCATGGTACCCGGAGGCTGGCAGTATGCGCTCTCTGTCTCTCTCTGGTCTGGTCTACACTACAGAGTTAGGCAGTTTACGTAAGGAAGCTTATGTTGACCTAACTATGAAAGTGTCTACACTAAAATTTCGCTCCCGCTGATTAAACTGCCATGCTATGGCGACTTAATAACTCCATCTCCATGGGCAGCATAGAGTCTTGGCTGAGGTAGTTAGGTCAATGCAGTGTCAGTGTAGACACTGCATTGCTTCTGTCGACTGCTAGTGGCCTCCAGGAGCCGTCCCACAATGCCCCACGCTGACAGTATAATCGGTTCAACTGCTCCTGGTGAGGACGCGCATTGCTGACACGAGCAAAGTGCAGTGTACTTGCTGCGGGGGCTGTACACCAACATGAATTAGGTCGACTTAATTTTGTAGTGACGACGTGGCTTCTGCTTGCGCAAACCAAAGGCCCGTGTGCCTGGAATGTTCATCAAGCAGACATTTCCAACTAGGAGGAAAATTAAAGAAACTCTCATCTTCCCCCGTTGCTTCATCCCCTTTTCTCTCACTCATCACACAAAGCAAGACAAATGACCACAAAGGGAGGGGGAGGGGAGGGGCACTCAGGGAAGAACAGGAGAAGGTAGAAAAGTACAGCCTCACTCTCTGGGGTGCAGCTTAGTTGTGGGCAGGCTGCAGAACCAGCTAAATGCTGCTGGACCCCAGTGCCCCCCCCCCCGCCCCACCTCCAGAAACAATCTGACTGAGTTGCTCTGGGTTTTACTGCTGTAGCTGCTAGTGGTCCATCCGCCAGGAGACTGGCCACATCTACACTGCGGGCATCACAGTGCCGCAGCTACAGCACTGAGCTGGGTCCCTGTAGTGTTGACATGCAGATGCTTCCTACAGCGATGGAAGGGGGTTTTCTGTCGCTGTAGGTTAGGCACCTCTCTGAGAGGCAGGAGCTAGTCTCATGACCAGGGCCTGGGTGCTCAGGGCCAGGGCCGGCTTTAGCAAGACCGGGGCCCGATTCCTGGGGGCGGGACTTGCCGCAAGCCCCGCCCCCAGGAATCGAGCCGCACTCCGGCCGTGTTCGACGGGCTTGGGTCCGGCCCAG